CCTTATAAACTTAAAAATTTTCATTGTCGGATAATATGAAAAATTCGTGTTCCGTTATACCTTCAGGCATATTATACAGTTTCCTCTTCACTATCATTGTTACTCTGATCCATACATAAATAATCATCTTCTGTTTCGTCTAGATTGGGAGATATACTATATTTTTTAAATGACTTTAATTATGTTGGGTTTAATTTCGTTGCATGCTTTTATTATCCACTTAGACGCTATTTCTAGACTGGCATGACGCTTTCTGCCTTCTTTCGTATTTTTTTCCCCCTCCTTCTAACATTCACATATTCCTTTGTCGTTTAAAATTTCTTTGAATAGTTTATTCATACACACGTCTAAAGGCTGAACTAATGGCGTTAATCCGCCTGAAATAGCTGAGATGTTTTAATACACGCTTTCAATAAATTCTTCGTATCATCCATTAGATCAGCTGTTCTCAACATTTTGACTTACGCATACCATGTAAACAAAAACTGAAAACCTTTAGTACCACCACTACAAAATACTACTAGCACCACCACTCTTGAACAAAGATCAGATCGCATAAATTTACGAGTGTTAGAGAAAAAAACTCAATCATGATGTTGGGGTTTTAATTTTTTGAATTTAATACTTCAAAATACTTTGCTTCTTTGCTTACTACTTATTTTTCTCTTGCTTACCACCGGCTGACAACCCCTGCTTTAAATGCAATCTGAGTACGTCCCAAACTAAAACACTTTTTGGATTCTTTAAGGCAACATGACGCTTTTGCCAAACATTTCCTTATTCACAATTTTACACTGTTTTCTTCCAACCATCTTTCTCGTGAACATGGGAAAAAAAAAAAAAAAAAAAAAAATTGGGGGGGGGAGAAATTACATTTCGGTACCCTCTTCCTTTTAAAAATAACTATAAGTTTTAATTTTGTACCGTCCGCTAAGAAGGAAAGTACTATGGTGAGGTGAGAATTTTCGTGACATTTTTTTTTTCTAATGTGAACCGTTTTCCTTCCATTACTAGAGTTTCATCCATATTTCCAATATGTGACAATAAATACTTTTTTTTAAAAAATCTTCCTAGGCCAATAGCATACTTCTGGAATTTGTTATCCAAATCTTTCGGAAACCTTTACGAAACTTTCGTTTTTTCTCATAGAACTAAATTATTCCGCGCTATAAAATCGACTAGACCAACTCAGTGTTGCTTTAAAGTTTTTACTCTCATTTGCATTCTTTTTTTCAACTTTAAGGCAAATAAACGTACGCTGTTTCTTGTAACAATTAATCCATTCTGGCGGTTTTCTAGAACTCGTTCGTTGCGCTTTCTTCTAGGATAGGTAATTTCCTTACTCCTTATTCATCATACTACAAAGCTTATTTATTCTTTGGCATATTAATTATTGTGATTTCATTTTTCTTCCACTCACATATGGAGCTTTCTTCAGCAGCAAACATGCTTGCTGCAGCACGATTTCTATTTTCTTTCGCAAACTGAGAAACCAGCAGAGTGTTTGTTTCATTTGGCAAAAGACATATTTAAAAGGAACACTAGATTAACCATGTTTCAACTAAAGCAAATGCGGTTTACTAAAGCCTTCGATGTTCACTTCAAAATCAGGGTTTCAAATGGCTACAGAAAGAGAAAACATCTGATTACTAATTCCGCGAATTCATTCGGTGCCTTCTTACCCCAAATTATGCCCCCTTTTCTAGGAACTCTAGAATAACATTCTTGTGCACATCTGCATTACATACAGTCCACTTTCTTCGCAGGATTATTTACTTCCTCAAGCGTTTTCCCCACACCCATATTGTTCCACTTACCTCTTACCAGTTCAGTATACAATCGTTCGAAAGCCTGGGAAAAGTCTTCCAATGAATGACTTCAAAAGATAACATGGCTCATGTATCTTTCGGGTTCCTTCATAAAGCGAAGGGTGCGCGTTATACGGTGAATAAACCTAATTTCTTTTTAATGTAGTTTGGAATTATAGGTGCGCGTTATACACCGGTGAAAGTTATACACCGGTTTACTGAAATACACGGTAATTTGGAAGGAATAGGCCATAAAGGGAAAGGGATGTAAATTTATAAATGAATTAAAAATTTCTGATTAGATTTGAAACATAAATATTGATAATAAACTTTGACAAGTGGCAACATATTTCTTTCACATACTCGAGTTTATTAATCAAAATATCACCAAATTCTCCCAAAATGTAAAATAAATAAAAATGGAAAAAATTCGGGCTTCGGGGTGCACATGTTCGGGGGAAGACTATGCGTGTCCAAAATTTGGTAGCTTTATGTCCCGCCGTGTTCCCACATTGCAAGGAACATACTACATAGATACTACATGCACAGATTCTTCATTCTTTAGTGATGGAGACTGCGTACACCTGAGAACATGTCTCTCTTCAAACTGTATGAGGCTCCTGAATATGATCTCCAACTTTAATATCAAATATATCGGTCATTTTTTTTTCCGTAAGAAATTCACACACGTATTTAATTTTTTATAATGAATAGAAAATTTTCCTAAACATAAGGACCGGGAGAACGCATGAAAATTTAGATTGCGAAACTTTTACAAAAGTGATTTTTTTTAAATTTAAAAATACCAAAAGAATATATACTTGATTTAACTCATTTTTGTAACTGGAAGTATATCACTACGACCAGTGGTTGCGAAAATAAAAATCGGATAAATACTTCTGTGAGCACAAGGTATAAAATTATAATGTCTTGATCATCCTCATAATGAGAAAATTTTAGAATACATAGAGACATTTTTTAATTTAGCAGGAATGAAATCTACGGTTAATTAAAAAAATAAAAAATGAATAACCCATAGTCTAGTAAACAGGAAAATATTATTAATTATTTCCGTATACTTACAAAGAGTTTAATTTAGGTGTTGTTGTGGTGTGGTGTATTTAATTACGGCAAAGCACACTAGGGCTATCTGCCTAAGGGGAGGAATGCCTTTTCGTGGAGGACTTTCTAAGGGAAACTGGCTCGTATACGCGTTACACATGGGGAAAACCACGAAAACGCCCATGCAGCCAGCCCGTTCGCGGGATTCGAACCTCGGACCGAACTACCAGTGTTCAGCGTCTTTACCGCTCGGCCGCTGGTGGGCAGAGTTTAATTTAGAAAATGAATTCATTTTCTTTCGTAAATGAAATTAGTATTGGAAACAAAGAACATGTTTTAATAACGGAAAAATAACATGTAAGAAAATAAAGAATTTAAGTTATTAAACAGCATTGTAGAACAGTATGACCGAGTTCAAACACTCGAAAAAAATATGCTTAAATAAATTTTGTTTTTGGCGGGGTTCTTTTGGAAGATATTGTTGCTTTTAATTCCCATGCATTTTTATTTTCCAAAACAATTTTATTTTACAGTGTCGTTTGAGACCATATTTCAAGGTTTCTAAATAAACGTTTTTTCTAAATAAACTATAACTTTTTTTTTAATTTTTATTTTAACTAGTTTTTGAATTCTTAAATTACTTTGATTAGCACAACATCGCTAGCCAATGAGAGTGCGAGACAAAAACCCATTGTCTGGTTTTAAAAGAAAAAAGAAAATCATAAAAAAACTAAAATACGAAGTATGATATTTAGTATTTCATTCCTGCTTCTAATTTTTATATTCTTATAACTTTGAACTGGAAAAAGAAAAGATACTCTAAAATTGTTCATATTGTAAATACAGTCAAATTTCGCTATAATGAACTTTAAAGGGCTGAAATCCATTGTATCCAATCGGATAGAAAAAAATATTAACTCACAAAAAGGTATGAATTTTGACTAATGAATCACAAAAGAGCTGATTAACATTGTCATATCTAACAAAACTAAGTGAATAATAACACTTAAGTTTTAAAAAAATAAAGAACTACGTGCAATTATTTCATTTGCTTTTTGTTCTATATCAATTTCACCATAGAGCAATAATTTTACGCCAACAAAATAACTTAATATCAAAATCATGGTTCAGACCCTTATCTCGAAACATATATCTCTCTTCAAGATACACATTTATAATTATGAATAATCATTTCGTGACGCAATATGTTCTCCTAAGATGTGATTATTATGCGTCCTGGTTTTCAAAAGAATTTGGTGTCGCACCTTTCTCGGATAACCTTGGTTTAGAACACAAGTGTTAGGGTGAAGATAAAAAGAACAGTAACGTAAATATGTTTATAGCTATCCTAATGGCATAAACAAGGATGATTTTAAGAGTTAGTAATTTTCAGTTAAAAATTGTAGAAATTCTGCACAAATTTATGAAAAATACAAAAACTGTTTCAGTCGAAGACATCCATAATATGATAAATATCGTTATATTTAATTTTCACTTGTTTGAAGGTTCGCTATAATAGCTGTAACGAATATTTCGATTTCAATCGAGTTTAGCATTTAAGAACTGGCAACAGCTTATCATATTCACTTCTAATTATTTTTTCCTATCATGGAGCTCATGCTGTAGCATGCATAATAAGCATTATTTATTAATCATGTAGGAATTAGATACTATTTAAACATCTGTTTTAATAATAGCCGTATAAAATAATGTTAACTGAACAAGAAATTAGGCGAGATAAAAAATTTATTTCATTATATACAGGGTCGCTAAAGCCTGGTTTGAAGGTTCCCCTAGAAATGAAGGCGTAGGCAAGTGCCCTGTTTACCCCTACGAAACTCGAACCCTAACAACTATTTATTTACAAAATGTATTTGCACAAATTCTTCCACTTAATAAGAAAACGGAATGAGGAAACTCCAAGAAGATAGCGAATAGTTTCTTCTCATAAAAATGCAGATGAGGGTATTTCCAACAGCGCGCTTAGAATATTGTCCGTTTTCTAAAATGAAGCTGCGTCCTGTACTGTTTCGTGCACCGCCCATGTTGCACAACATCCATGAAAAAAAAAACCTGACATACTATTTTGCTCGAGAAGCTGATTGGCTGAGGATGAATCAGCTTTTGTGGCGGGAAGTCTTCGTGCTGTTTAGTTATTTTCTCGAACTTCTGTTTACTTCCGCTTCTTCTCTGTAACTCACTACAACCTAATATTCTTGAATAAAATTAAGTCGTCAACAAGCGGCTTTGAAAGCAAGCTGATTTGTAAGTTTTTTTCAGCTTTTAATATAAAAATGAAATTTTCTTTTAAATTATGCATTTAAAAATATACACGCAATATATATATATGCATAGCTGCCAACTCTCCCAGGTTTTTGATCACATCTCCTAATCTCTTGACAAATCCCCGAATCTGCCGATTTTAAATTTTAGCTTTTACTAAGGAAAATGTTTCTCAGAAAAATTTATTAAATTAATGAAAGTTAAAGTGTGCAAATTCCAGTCCCATACCTCTAATGACTTTCAGCGTAATATTTTATATTGAATTTTATTCGATTTGTAGAACTTTACACGATGGTTCAACCAATGTTTAATCAGTTAACATTTGTATTTAATTTATTTTACATCAATATAAAGAACATCACTGAGTTTATCAACTCAATATATGTACATTAATTATTAATTTTATTTTCACTGTGTTTAAAACTATTTTGCTAAATTGAAGCTTTCCTTTCCTACACTGGATTTCCTCAGTACAAAAATATAAGAAAATTACTAAATTAAATTAGCTAAATAACGTAAAATTTAGAATACCTAATTACGTAATTACAGCAAAATCATATTATAAATAGTTAATAAACTGAATCATGCATTACAAAGCAAATTTAAGCCAATATGGAGTTTTTTGAAATGATGCTAACCCGAAAACTCTCGTTTTTCATACTTCAAAGTTAGCAGCTATGGTATTGATTCTTCAGCATTCAGGATTTAAATTAAGCCTGAGCCCGGTTCCGGCACTTCTAAATGTTTAAGTGTAACATAATACAAGTAGCACATAAAAGAAGCTTCTATAGTTTTATTTATTATTTCACTAGTTGTTGATTCAATTCAATTTATTCATTTTTATCTCTTTATGCCTTATTCGATTTATTTATTAATTATTTATGAATTTATTTGCTTATTTTTATTTAACGTTTCCGATAAATGCGCTCCGGCACTTCAATTAGAAATTAATCCCTGGCAATATTTAAAGAACATTAAAAACTGAGAGGCAATTGAATACGTAGAATCAAAAAGAACAATCCTGTATCTGACAGATAAGTGCAGAATTTTTTTCTGAAATGTACGAAATCATTGATGTTGTGAAAATATTTTCTACTATTACGAATATGTGACCGAAGGAGAAAACTAGGTTAAGTAATTAGACAATAAAAGTTGTGCTAAATAAGTGAATCAAAACTGTGTCATGGATATATGAAAAGTTTTATGATAAGATAGAAAAACCGAAATACTGTGCAAGATAACTTCATCGGAGAAGTATTAATAATACAGTCATGGAGAAATATATTTCATCTGTCTAATAAATGTGCTTAAACTTGTATAAGGGTTTTTTTCTTGAAGAATAACGGTAAGCTCAATATGTTTACCTCTATTATTATATAATGAAAAATCTTGTATTGTATGTATGTGTGTATATTCCTCGTACTGTTGAAAACGATGGCGCTTAGAGCCACAAAAATTTCAATGCAATCCTTAACAATAAAATGTGCACCTCAAAGTCCGAATTTTGGATCTCGAATTAATTTATTTATTTCATGTTTGTTTCAATTTAATGATTTTTTATTAAGAAACTCGGGATTTAAAACCATTGTGTTACGACTCGACAAAACGTAGTATTTTTATACTTTCAATTTAATCAAAAAACTTGGCGATTTATAAAAGTTTTGTTGTCAGTCGGCAAACCGCAAGATAATTGTCTTTCAAGACAGCGAATCCAGCAAAAAAAACACAACGATTTAAAAGAAATGTGTTGCTACTACCCGAAATAAAATAGCTTTATCTTCTACACGGCAGTAAGTTGCCATTCGGCAAAACTTAAGATATTTAATTTTTCTTCCAAATTTAATCTGTTTGTCATTAACAAACAAACGGTTTTTAAAGCCATAAATGCAGTTCTTTAGCTCTATTATTATTAATTACTATTATTATTAATTATAATAAGATCAGAGGCCGCTATAATAAGGAAGTACCTATTTAAGTCAACGTTTCTTCAAAATAAAAAAGTCTTTTTATTTTATTTTAAAACGATTTTCATTGTTTTTTTTTTTTTTTTTTTTTTTTCTTCAACTAAGGTTATTACGTTTGAACAAGCTTCTTTATCAAGAACTATCAGGAAAGACTTAAACGTACTTGCTACTTATAATGGAATTTTCTGTTTGAAACTATTTGCTCTCTGTGGCTCTGTATAAATTGCATATACAGTCACTAACTGTTATATATGATTTACCGAAGGAAATGATTTCTTGTACCTTAATATTCTCAGAAAATGCTAGTTTCTTACTGCTACGTTAACCAGGCAATCAAGCAGTTTTCTTTCTTGGAACAATGAACAATGGAATCTTTATATGAATGTAAGTTACGTAATTTATAGTTAGATTTTTTTTTTCTTTCTCTCTCCCCTTCTTTCTTTCTTTCTATTTATTTTTTAAGCTGTCTCTCGAATGAATCCCGTATATAAATAAGACAGATGATTAAATGAAAATCATTTTGTCCGTTCGAAAACAAAAGTTCTATGAAGTAAATATTCTGAACTGCATTTGTTTCATTCATAAGCTTGAGTTTACTATATCATTTACATTTGTACAATGTATACTGAGGTTTATTCCAAGGAAAAATAATAATTAGGAAATACGAAATGTACTACTCACCGTTTAGATTTATTTGAACAGATTTAGAGGATGATGTTTTCACATATTTGTCTTCATTGTTCACACAATTTTAAAACCTGTGATATGTAGCTTACTGAGCATGAGTGCGCATGCTTGGTAGTATAGAGTCTATGATAACTTTAATTCTTTCAAGCTAATCGACAGTGTACATGCTTTATTTGCATAAATATGTATTTCTGATATCCACTTTTAACATTTCAATATTTTAACATTTGGTTACAATTAAAAGACATTACTTTATAAGGTATTTCTTCCACCTTCTTAGCATGCCTTCGTAGTGTAGTGGTGAGCACGCTCGATGCGAATTCGAGAGCTCCGCGGTTCGAATCCCGGCGAGGCATTGCTTACTTTTTATTTCTCCTGCTTTCAAAATAACCTAATGCCTCTACAGTGGCGCCCGAACTAAAAATGGTGGTGGATGATGATTCTCCGCCACCAGGATTTGGCGATTGGGTTCCCCTAAAACCCCAGTCGCCCTTTAAAAGGGGGAATATATAAGGTATTTATCCGACCTTCTTAGCATGCCTTCGTAGTGTAGTGGTCAGCGCGCTCGATGCGAATTCGAGAGGTCCGTGGTTCGAGTCCCGGCGACGGCATTTCTCATTTTTTATCTCTCCTGCTCGAAATAACCTAACGTCTCTACAATGGCGCCCGAAGGGTGGTGGGTGATGATTCTCCACACCCAGGATTTGGCGATTGGGTCTTTTAAAAATCCCAGTCGCCCTTTAAAAGGGGGGAGTATATAAGGTATTTCTCCCGCCTTTTTAGCATGCCTTAGTGGTCAGCACTCTGGGCGCGTATTCCAGAGGTCCGTGGCTCGATTCCCGGCGAGTGCTGTGCTCCTTTTTCATCACTCCTGCTCTGAAAATAACCTAATGACTCTACAACTTGTACACTAGACATTACTTGTACAATCATTTAGAGTTTTTGAAACTGAAATCAGCACTGTCTTCGCCTGGAATCGAATTCCAGGCTTCCCGATAGTCAGATGCACTTACTTCGAAGGCATGCTGTAAGGATAGAGAAAATTCATTAGATTTCCCTACTTAAAAGACGACCCTACTTAAAGTAGGGGAACTTAATTCCCTACTACATACTACGCCCTTTAAGTGGCGGAACTTAATCCCCTACTTAAAGGGCGACCGGGAAAAAAAATTTCAATTCCAGAACTCATTAGGGTTCAGGCTAAAACTGCAAGATCATTTTTAAAAAATTCTCAGTAGAAACATACGTTATTCCATTCCTACAGGAATCACTGCAGTTAATCTGTCTGGATTTTAAACTTTCTTTTGCGTGCTCTGAATTTGCAGAATTTTCTGGTCTGAGCGAATGCAGTGAAACCTCAGATCACGAAGTTCTGTCATGAATCGTTCACGAACAAATTATTTGAACGAAAAGCGCATCAGATGACGAATGGTGTTCCTAGTTCCGATCATTTAGGCCAGCAACAAATGAGTTTCAAAAGTGTTTTGGCGCAGAACTAATATTTAGAGACTTCTGGAAACACCATTTTAATATTTTCCATTGCTTAACTCTCATGAGGAAAGCCTGGAGGACCGTGAGTTTGGCCTGGAGGAAATTACGGTTAGGTTGTGGTGCAGGGCTTTGTGAACTTAAGTGTAAATGATTTTTTTAACGCAAAGAAACGTTAGCCCAGAAGGGCTGTTGGTTTCGAAACAGCATTTTGCTTCGAATCGATAAAAGTGTTGAATCACTTTTCAAACTGTTGCCCCCACCGCCATGTATTATAGTTAAAGAAATTAAACAGTGAAGAATCTGCGTGAATGTATGTATATTTCTCGCACTGTGAAAACACAACAGTACGTACAGCCATCAAACTTTGAATAACGTAGTCCTCCACCGAATATGGGCATCTGAAAGGTCAAATATTGAATTTCGAATTTGTTTCATTATTTATTTCATGTTTTCTAAAAATTTAATAAATTTTTTATTTAAAAACTCAATGATTTCAAAGGGAGCAGCGACGACACTGTACTGAATAAATAATTTTTATCTCCAGCTCGCGAGACTGTCTATCGAAAATTCTAAAGATATGCTTTTTGAAATGTTTTTAGCCTTAAGGTGCGTTATGATATGGGAAAAAAACGGAAACGCTCATGGAGTCTGCCCTTTCGCCTGAAATCCAACTCTGATCAGAGCTACCAATTTTCAGCGATTTTACCGCTCAACCGCTGGAGGGCCCAAATTGCTCTGGAATATTATTGAATCCTCACCACTTTCCATTTACACCGTCTAATATCTTCCAGGTACTGTAAAATTAAATTTATTGTTCATCTTTTTTTACTTTCTTGTACGGCATGAAGGAAGTATTGTAATCTCGAAAAATTTCAGGTGTTATATTTAAACGAAAATCTTCATTTTGACCGCTCTCAAATATCCATTTGGACGGTTCCCCCCCCTCCCGTGGTGTTTGTACGTACGGACAGAATAAAGGACTTTTTTTTTTTTCCCAAAACGGATGTGAAATGGATACTACTTTACCTTTAGAAGAAATTCATAGTAGCCTACTTACTCTCTCCATTTCCTTTCCGCAGATTCTTATAATTTCTCTTGAAGAATGGAAACTTTTCCTCAAAAATGTATTTTTTAACAATTATTTGCAATTTGATAACACAATCTTTAAGCAAGTACAGGGAATAACTATGGTCGGAAACTGCTCAACTGCATTCTGTGGGCTATTCCTTTTCACGCAAGAATTTATGTTTGTACGTTCACTTAATCTTGAAGAACGAAAATATTATCTACACATCTTTCGATATATTGATGATGTTATTCCCTTTAACAATTTTAACAAACTAGAAAATGCAAATATTTACCCTACTTGCCTCAAACGTAATGCCACTAATGCTATTCAAAATGATATTGTTTACCTAGATCTTCAAATTCTTAATAACAATCTTATTAAAATATCTGACAAACGCAGAGACTTACACTAAAACTTACAAACTAACTTACTAAAACTTTCAGACACTAAAACTTACTAACTTACTAAAATTTCTAAAAAAGTCATTATCAATACAATTAATGCACAATAGAAATTCTTAGAATTAAAAGAATCTGTAATAACGCAGACCTTCTTCAAGAAGAAATACTCTACTTCATTAAAATCTTATAAAGCCATCCTTTTTCAAAAGCTATCATTAAAAATTCTTTAAAAAAAGCTGGCATTTACCTCTTATTTTTAGATTATTTGAATTAGATAATGAAATTTTGACTTAAATTCCAAGGGAAGGTAACTGATGGATGGCTAATTCAATTGATCTAATGTAAAAATGTAACATAGTTTTCTTCTACTGCCTCAATTTTTCTCTTAATTGGCACAGACATTCAGTTAAATTATTAAATTCATTATTTAATATCGCTGTTTTCTGGCCATACCTATTCTTTTATTAATTTAAGACATACACTGATTATTCATTTTTTAGTTACAGAGATTATTATTGCAACAAGCAGCATGCCTGTGGTGTAAACGTTAAATATATTCTGTTATGCGCCCATGTGAATTATGTCGCAGCTTTTAAAATAATTCATTATAATTGTCAAATATTTATGCCGCTCATCAATAATCTTCTTTTTCAGATGCCAATGCAACTATGTAATCATTCATTATCTGTTGAATAATAACTTCAAGATGGCAGGAAAAGACTTAGTCTTCACAGTCAACGAAACAGACATAAATTTTGCTACCGGAAACTTCACTTCTCAAAAACCAGTATTAAATAAATATTATCCGATCCTGGCTGCAGAAATGGGATTATCCATTTTCTGCTCAACAGCTTTAATATTTGTATATATCATCATTGGAGAACATCGCACCGTACCCGGAAAGAATGTCATATCTATTTCTTTATGTTTGATAATTACTTACATAATGCTCACCATAGATCTGCTCATGAGGAATAATCTGAGTCATGCTTTATGCATGGTGGTAGGCGTAATAGTGCAAACAACTTTTTTGGCGACATTTTTCTGGACTAATGTTATGTCTTATGACATCATGATAACAATGGCGTCAGTCAAGTCTGATGCTATCACCACATTTAAGTACTGGAAATACTCAGTTTACGCATGGACAATGACATTATTATGCGTCGTACCAGCTGTGGTGGTAGACAACATCGATGAAATACCTAATGAATACAAACCAAGATTTGGTGTGAAGAAATGCTGGATATCTGGACAGCTGGCCTTTTTGATTTACCTCAACGCACCCGTGGGTGTAACTTTGACAGCTAACTGTGTTTTCTTTATTCTCACAGCCAAGACTATCATCAAAGTGAGGAGATCTACCGCCATTTTGGCTACAAACAGGCATAAAAAAAGGTACAGTAGTTTGCATTTCTATGAAATTTGTGACGAGCTTGTAAATATTTATGTTAATTATTTTTCGCAGTTTGTCTTATTATTTTGCCTTTGGTTTCACTTCTACTTTTGTTAGCTGAAACTATGATGCAAATTAGTTTAAAGTATAAATAAAAAGTTTCAAGTTATTGAGTTTTGAGAAAGCGATGGTAGTACAGTCGTATGGTACTAGTAGTAGTATTAATTAATTTATTATTTAAATTTTTTTGGTAACAACAGAACTTTTTTATGTTAGTTTTCGGGCGACTGCATTAAAAAACAATTCCATAAAACTAACCTTTCACTGTTGCCAAAACCAGATCAAAAATGCATTGTTACCAGTCTAGTTTCCCTTTCAGTTATTGAATGGTAAATAATTCGCATTTATCTAATAAATATAAATAACACAGAAATAAGAATAATTATTCTAATTTGAAACAAATGTTATAACATATACATTTTAGAATACGTATGTAATTTCACCGCTACAGGCTGATCCTCACTTTGCTTTAGGTTTCCCATGTTGTAGCATTTAAGTTATCTGCTAGAGCTTCTGTCAGCTATTGTTGTTTCGTGAATACTAAGGGATGAGCCAATGCTTAATTAAGCGTGCTAATGTTGTATTTCTCATTCTGTTTAATTTGAATGTGTTTCTGAATTAAAAGTGCAAGAAAATGTTCGGTGTTTTCGTGTTTGTCAATTTTTGGGTCTGCGTAACTATGAAGTCTGTTACGTAAATATCAGGACATGTTAATACACTAATTTTATTTTAAACTTCTGTTTAAGTTGTATTAATTTTAGCTAAAAGATAGATGGAACGAAAAGTCGTCTGACAGTCTGCCCTATTGCTTTGAGCTGATTTGTTAATTTAAAATAGAAGGTAATTGTATTAATTATGCAAAATTTAATGACAGCCTGATTTCATTAGAGTGATACATCGGATTAGAGTGGTGGAGTCACCAAAGTCCTTGTCCTCGAAGCACTATCTCTATCTAATAAATTTTTTCTCAATCATATCAATTCAAAGGATGTCCATTATGGTATAATTAATAACTATTTTTATAGGTCCTTGAGTCAAAATATCAGAAATTTCATAAATTTACATTTTAATAACAGACGTAAGTGATAAAAGCAAACAAAACAACTAATAATTGCTGCCCTTAAGTCACATTTACGGTAAGGATCGCCCTTGAGCGTTTTACATTACGAGCATCATATAGTATATAATTCACAACTCTTCGCTCCCCCCTACCTACGTCATCCAAAAATAAGACGCTTGAATTTAGCAGCCATTTTTCTGCATGTTTCCAGAGGGACAGCTTTACATCGCCGAAGGTCAGTTTTTTGTTTCTTTTGTTACAACTTTTTCTTGGTCTTAGCAAGACCCACTGAGTTGTTCTTTTCTCAATTTTATTTTATATTGATTATTAACTACAAGTTTTCTTACAGTTTCATAAAATCTACAGTTTTTAAAAATTAAATTGTTAATCTTTAAGCTTGCAGGCCCAGCCCGAATATATTTGTATTTTTAGGACTAATAGCTCATCGCTATTTATTTTAATTTTAGACTAGATTAAGAAAGTTTGATTTTGATTTACATATTTTAACACCTTAATGTGTCTTTCTGAGCGGACGCGTCGGGAAATTGGAACAGAGAATTGAGACTATTAAAATTTCCAAGACACTTTGTCAAAAAATTTTTTAGCGAAAAAGTTTCAATTGTCTGTTTCGGCGAAACGCGTAATGGGGTTAGCTTGATTCGACGTTCAAATAATTGAAATTTCCCTTGAAAAGCCTGTTTGGATGTCGAATTGGGCTAATTTACCATTTTCCGCTTACTTTTTAACTTTTTCTGTTATTTAATTTTATTGTATTTATGTTTTACATGTCTAATGATTTGCTTTTCATGTGTATTAATTTTTGAAAACGTCTTTAACCTTTTGGAGCAGCAGCTCTTGGTAACTTTTAGGCGAGCTTTCTACAATTTTTATTTTTTACTTATTTTGCAGCATATTGCGCAAGATGTTTTCTTGACCAAAATTGTTATTACTGCTTTGCTTGATAAATTGTTAATATAACTAATATATCATATAGTATATAATTGTTAATACAATTGTAATAAACTGAATGCACACAGAACCGATGATAGCATGAAAAAATTTATTTTTCTAATATAAACACTTTACAGTTCTGGAACTTTTCACAAAGTACTTGTACACCCCTTCTCAGTATGACAGAACACAATCAGTAGTTACTACTTTAAACTACTAATGACATTAAACACAAGACAATGTAAAAAGAAAGCCTTAAATGCGTAAGCTTACCCAGGCATCTCTCAATCTTGGAGGTAGGAAAGGGAGGAGGGGCCAACCCGCGCTAAAAGTGAAGCACTGCTTTGAAGCTTGGGTCACCAGATGGGGTGTTCTTTGTTTACATTCAGAAGCTCGCTTGACACGGTTCTGATAGTATTTCGACAGACGACAGTTCCATAGAAATCGAAAAAGGGACACTTTCGCATGAAAGAAACATTCATAGTGTGATGGATAATAGCAATTTGTATAGTTTAGTGACATTTACGCAAAAATCACATCTTGGTTATTTTTCGATAACTAACAACAGCGATTTTGATTATGAATTTTTTTATAAAATTATAAGCTGTTACACTACAAAAATTAGATTTTAAGAAAAATGTTATGCTTAAAGAATGAAAAATACCTTACGGTACATTTAAAATTGTATACGTCTTTCGATACCCTTGATAGAGTATTTGCTACTTTTATTTTATTTTCCAAACGTCAAAATGTTTTAAATAAAACAAATTTTTTTCACATCCATATATTATTGTAACATGTACCTTTTAAAAATTTTTAGAGGAGAGGCTTTACTGCTGCTCATTTTAAACCCATCGTTTCAATTTTATATATCTGAAAAATAATCACTTTGGGCTTACACGTTTTATAAATATAAAATTATGTATGTTAAAATATTTGTAATTAGGCATATAGGTCAGATTAAGTTTTTATAGAGTAACGCATGCAAGGGCTATCTGCCTAAAGAGAGAGATGCCATCGTGGAGGAATTTGAAAAAACTGACCTTTTGAGTGGGTATTAAAAATATACCTATAATTTTCATTCAAATTATATTCATGTATATTTTTTATGTAAAACTTTCGGGTGTATGCTAAATTAGTGTAAATTACTTTACACGAAAAAATATAGTGAATGCTCAGAAATTAAAGATTTGCACATGCCGGAAATGAAAAATAGGAAATATGTATGGGTATTTATGCATGTGCTTGCAAAAAGCATGTATCTGCCTTTGACAAAATACTTAAATATTCATTAAATTATTTATAAATGTATTTGAAATGAAGAATTTATTCACTTATAAACAACTGTGAAAGTACTGTGAAGAAATCTAATTATTAAATGTATCTAATTTTTAATGATTATAAATGTTATCTAAATATATAATAACCTTAATATTGAATTGTAAACATAAATTGAAATCCTTGACAAATACGTTATAAAACTATTTAAGCAAGAATTGTTCGTATTGGAAAGCAATCTGTTAAAAGGTATTGGAAAGCAAATGCTATGAGATGCGCACTTAAGAACGTAATAAAGAGTTTTGGAATATGTATTGTTGAAATGAAGGGTAAAAAAAAAATCTGATAAGTATAATTAAAAGAATTATTCCCCTTACATTTTATAATAACTCAGTTACAAGTTTTAAATAATACTTAAGAAAAAAAAAAACTTATTTTAATCCCTTTCAGAAATGTTCAGAGAAAGTCAAGTACTATTTAATACCTATTTAATTATTAGGAATTAGCGAAATACTTATTTTAAAGTATTTCGCTAATTCCTATAATAATTCTCTAATTTAAAATGAACCGAATAGAGCATTAATTATAAATTGACTTACATTTTTTCGATTTAAAAGAAGCCAAAAAATCATGTCATATTTAAAGAAAGTATTTTAGGAAGAAGCTCTATAAATAGAAAAAATAATGCATAATTTTTAATATAATAATACAATAAACTTTTTATCTTAATTTTTGTACCTTAACCGAATAAAATCGAATTACCTTAATTTTTTTTCCTAATGTAATTAACGAACGAAACTTGTGAAAATATTTCATTCAAATTAAACCATTCTGAGAAAACTGTCCTGTGAAAAGTATAGCATTTAATTCCGTTTCAGAATGAAATGAATGTTTAAAAATATGTTTGTTTTCACATACTAAGGACTCTGAAGTGTTGTAAAAAAAGAAAATATATACATTTATATGTATATTTACGACGTAATTACAAAATATTTACATCCGAACGCGTCAAATCCCATAGAACTCAATGGTAAATGACACAATGTTTTGGTCACCACGTAGGGATCGCCGGTGCTTCAGAGCAGGGTACGGGAGAAACTGGTTTAGGGCGACTCCATCTTACTTCCTACCTCCATGCTCTCAATACTTTCAACACTCTCAGTTAAACTCTGAACTAAATTGAGAACTGATACTCTCTCCGGTCCTTTACAGTTTTTCCCCGTCCGTCGAGAAATTTTAAGTACCTTCGATTTATCAAAATTGCTGGAGGGTATATACAGTTAAAGTTACATAGGGTCTTATACAACTTTAGTTGCATAGGGATCGGACTAATTACAGTTATAAAGAAATTGGACTAGTCGCCAAATAGTTGCCAAATTTGGTGACTTTTGTCAATTTCACCAAATTTGGCGACACAAATTAGTCGCCAGCTTAGTTCTATCTCGCCACATTTACCTAAATGTTAAAAGGACTTGCCCTATACCCTTATTTTTCCGCGAAGCTTGGCATTCTTGAGGCCTTTTATGTTCCATTATACAATAGATATTATAATTTACGTAAATTTCACTAAAATTATTTACATATGTCCAAAATTCAAAGCAATATCATAGCCATAGTTGCTAATACATTCATTATTAATAAAGGAAGATTTTTAAAGCAATTTCTTAGGTAGCTTATAGTATATACTTTTACT